CAATAAATTTTAAAAAGCCCACGCTACCCGGGTTCGCTCCTTCATCGCCGGAGGTGGGTGTGGGCCCTCCGCAGCGCGGCGTCCCGGCCGCCTCTGCTCGGCGCTGCCCGTCCTGCGAGCCGGCTGGGGCAGGGCCGCTTCTGCGTCGGGGTTCCGTGACGCTCCTGCCGGGGCAGAGCGACCTCGGGTAGCGTGGGCTTTTTAAAATTTATTGTTATTTTCGCCCCTAACGCACTTGATTTCGTATAGGCGGGTGGCTTGCGTGCGTTTCGGAGTCGGTGAGAGGCCCAGCGTAGCTGCCGGCTGAGCGTGCCAAGGCCCCGTGCCGCCGTTGTGACTCCGGGGCAGCCCGCTTATCGGTGCCCCGAGAGATGCCGGCCGTCGGGCTGCGGTGGTGCGAAGGAAGTCAAGCCAACGCCACACCGCGCCGCCGGCTCCTTGCAGCAGAAGCACGTCGTGTTCTCCCTGCGGGGTGTTGTCACAGGTGCCTTGTAACGTGGCAAGGAGGCGTGAGGTTTATTTCAGGTTTTCTCGTGCTCTCGCTGCGGTTCTTGCTTTCAGCCTGGAGCCCCAGAGGAACGTGTGCGGACGCAGGCTGCCGCTCTGTGGAGCTGCTCTGCCCACACATAGCTCGGGCTGGTACAGAGGAAGCAGGCGTTGCTCTGCGGCAGCTTTCTCTGGAATTTATTGCCGGGACCTGAGTGGCCAGCCTCGGCTGTGTGGTTGAGCAGAAGCAGGTTGTGCTGATTTTCAGTCGAGCTTGAAGAGTTATGTAGCATACTTTTAATAGGAACCTTTTGCTTTTTTGGGGCTTTCTCGACTTACTAATTTTCTCATTACCTACTCCATTTAAAAATAGCTTATAAAAATCTATTATTTATCTGCTGAGTCAAAGGGCTTTGGCATCCCATTGGTTTTTCTCTCCCTTTGGAAAGGTGTTGCGGGATGCTGTGCCAAAACAACCACTGCACCACTTGATCGAGTGAAGATCTTGCTGCAGGCTCATAACCACCATTACAAACATCTAGGTAAGATGGATGCTGCCTGCGTCATCAGCATTTTTAAAGTGTGGTATGTATCATTTAGGTTTGCTGATTTATTACGTGATCCGACTGTGATAAAGAGAAGTGCTGATCAGACAATAGGTTGTTTCTGGCTGGCTCGTCCCTTTGCCATATATTGTGTTAAAAAACACAACAGTGTTTGAAGAACACCCTTAAATAAGAGGCATTGAGCATTTACAAGTGGTACTGGTTGACAGGTTAGAGATGTTAGAATAATCCTTGATACTGCGTAAGAACTGTAGCTTGATCCTCTTCTTACTGAAGTCAGCAGGAGATTGGTAATCAGACGTTCAAGCTCGAGATTGTGTATGTGAAAGCTGCCACCACTGGTAACTGCTATCCTTATAGGTGGTACTAGTGTGCAGGGCTTGTGGGAACAGGTGCTTTCCAGAGCCTGGAAGTCCTTGCAGAGGGGCTGGTGTTTACAGAGCCGTGAGTGCTGAGACCTGCAAGACTCCTGCACTTACTGCTGCAGACAGAAGTGTGATCGATCCAAGTCGATAAGAAAAGCGGACTTGTGCTTTGCATGGGCTGATGTGTTCAGCATCTGTGCTGCATCATGGTGAGAGAATAAACTCAGAACTGGCAGCATGTTCACAACTAGTCTCTGTGGGGCTGTAACAGTGCCCTCTTGTGCGGAATATGGAGATATTTTATGTCATACGTTCTTCAAATGTGTTATAACTTACATTCAGAAAGTCAAGTGTGTATCAAGAAGAAATGTTTCTGATTTAGTTAATTTCTTACATGTCATGAAATTTAGAAGTTTTTAATTTAAGGATCATGTTTTAAAGGCTGGAGAAATAAATATTGAAATGAAATACAAGGGTGGTACGTTAATGGAAGGAAGACAAGAGGCATATGACAGCTCGGTAACACAGTCACTTAAGTATGCATTCAAATGTGCAGCCTGACAACTGAAGGCTGAAGTAATTGGTTTGACTAATATTTTAAATTGTTATTTTCTGTTTAGTTTGTTTAGTGCCATAGCTGGCAAGCTAAGTCTTAGATTTGTTCCTACATACAGTGCTATGTGTGATTTTGATCATTAGAAATGCGTTTGACTTGAATTAATGTTCCTGTTACATGTAGGCAAAGAAGAAAATTATGTGGATGACATACCTGTTTAGTGCAGAGAGAGTAGGTTGGTTCATCATGGCCTCAATAAATCTGTTTCCTGCCCTTTCTCTGTGGAGTTCATAGCATTGTGGATCTCAGAGCATTTGCTGTAAGAAATAAAAACAGTATCTCCTCAATTCTAGTCACAGCATAAGCATTTTTAGAGGCATGTAATAAGTGTAAAATATTGAAGATAGATTTAATACTGTATTCTTGGAACCCCTGAATCTAACATTTGCTTGATTTAATTTTTAAATGAAAGCTTATCGTCAGCCTTCCTTGTCTTTTTGCCTGAAAAGAAGAAATGTGTAAGCTTTTTTCAGGTTCAGCTCTACTGTTATTAAGTAGCTGTTTATGAATGTGAAAACATATCTACTATTATATTTTTTTCCTTTACTTGAGAGAAAAAAGGCAAAAAAACCCCAGACATGTCAATTTGATAGCATTTGTGTATAATTAAAAATGGGTTCAACATAAAACTGTAGGTTTTGCCCTAACTTTGTGTGATCTTGCATTAACACCTGTTAAGAGGGAATAGGATTGCTTCTTCTTACAATGTCTCTGGGACAGGAAGTGTAAAATGCCTAAGTTGTAAATAATGATAGTCTCAAACTTGTTTAATTAATTTCCTCAGTGATGGTATTTACTTTCTAGTTTGGCATGTAACAACAGTTGAATGTTTGCCCATTATTTTAGATATTTATTTATATTTTAAATTGATTTTTGATTTAACTGAAATGCAACTCAGCTTGCTTCCTTCTGTTGCTAATTGTAGCTTTCGTGTGTGAATATTTTCATCTGCAGTGGGATTGCTGGTAGTCAAGTAAACATGGGACTTGAGATGCAGGAATTCAGAAAGCTCACTGAATCTGGGAGGTGGGAAAGTTGGTAATAACCTTAAACCTCTTCCTTGTGTCAGTGGCTGGGCATGGAAAAGTGCTTTTTCCACTCTCCATCATTACATGAGCAATGAGGTTGGGCTGTGTTACTGTGCATACTTTCCTGTTGTCAGTAATACTCGCTTGACTTTTTCTTCCCCAGTGTAATTGTTAAATACCTCTTTTTGCATTGCTAACAGGAGTGTTTTCTACGCTGTGTGCTGTCCCCAAGAAGGAAGGTTACCTTGGGCTGTATAAAGGAAATGGGGCCATGATGATTAGAATCTTTCCATATGGTGCAATTCAGTTTATGACGTTTGATCAATACAAAAAGGTAGTGGAATTTATTTTGTTTTCTTTTTTTCCCCTCGGTACAGTGAATACTGATATTTTTTAAGTGATAAAAACTAACACTGAAACTTCTGTGTCTTCTTATTACTCTGTACATCTTCCACAAGGTTGCTTGATTTTATATGAATCTAACCCTTAAAAATGTCAGGGCAGCAGTGAAACAGCTTGCAGTGTTTAAGGAAAACAAAATTCCCAGCAGTTTTTATAGCTTTGTATTGTGTATTGTATGTGTGCCTATGCGTGTGCAAGTATATATATATATATGAAGTCTGCTGTTGTGTTACTAAAAAACAGTGCTTTGTAAATGAAATAGGAACAAAATAGAAAATGTAAGCTCTTTAATGTTTATTATACTGTGTTGGAGTTTCTTAGTACCTGATGGGTAGAATAACTTCAACTTGCAAATCTGTCTGGCTGAATGACTGTTATGTTTTACCTGAGAAATGACTGTCAGCGTTGATAAAAATGAGCTGGAAGAAAAGATATGGTCATTTCAATGGCCTGCAAAATGTGCATGTTCCTTTCTATTCTCATGCATTTACTCTTTCCTAATGCATTCATAATAAATTCAACAACATCATTTGTGAAATGTCAGACGTTAGCATGACTGTGTTCTTAAGCTTCTACATGGTGAAACATGCAATGTTACATTAGTTGTGAGAAATTTCATATTGAAAGCACAAATTTAGTACCATTGAAGTAAATAGTAGAACCTTCACTAGAGAGTAAGTTTCAGATTGGGATTCCTTTTCCAAAAGAGCAAATTCCAGCAGGGTGATACAAAGAGCTAACTGCAGTGAGCTTGGTATGTTCTTTTATGTGGTAATTATAAATGCTCTTGATCAAAACACTATGCTTGTTTTATGCTGTGTTGAACAAAAGAGTATATGATATGTTTTATAAGGAGGTGGTTTAAAAATCCACAAATTTCAAGAAAACATTTAATTTCATAGCACTTTCTCTTATCTATTGACAACAGACATTAAAGATGCTTTGCAGGAGAGTTTGAAAGGCAAAAACAAAACAAAACAGTTCTTAAAGAGAGAACATGTGAAATAATCCTATGAATGATTCGTCATAAGATTAACCGCTTCTTAATATTTCTGAGTTACTTGATGTAAGTCTGAAAGCTAGTTTCTTGCAAGACTTAATGTAGTTTAGGAAGTTCTTGTTCTCAATACTTGCTCAGTTTCCCTCTTTTTTTTTTTTTTTTAAATGCAGTTGAATTCTTAAAAGTTTCCTTATTAGAGTAAGTTTCACATGCTCTGCACGAGAAAACAGTTTTTCTTATTAAATGTGTAAGTCTTCAACTTTGCTCAGTGTTCTTTGCACCCTATAATGTGAAAGAGATAGTATGCAGTTTGCCTTGGTTGAACCAGGTTAATAACTCAAAAAGCAGTCAATAAGCTTCTGAAGTACAAATAATTTCAACTGATCATTCTGCCTAGCTAGAGGAATGTTGGTCCTCTGGTGTCCTTAGTAGGAAATTGGTACCAACCTGAATTTTCAAAAAAGTTTTTAGCAGTGATTAAGTGCTCTGGTTTGAATTTGTAGAGTTGTAAACTTGTTATAGGAGCCACAGAGTTTACATTCATGTGCTGGTAAAACGTTGTGATGCATTTCCCTGTATTTACTCCTATAAAACTGTCACAAATGTTCCATATTTTGTAGGTAATAAAGAAGTACCTTGGGATTTCAGGGCATGTGCATCGATTGATGGCTGGATCCATGGCAGGTATAGCTTTGGACTTGCATTTCAGACATCCTTTTCACTGAAAAGTCAATGTTTATTCAGAGGGTTATTTAATAAGTTTTCAGGTCTAACTTTTGCAAATTTGTATTGAGTAAAAATACTTGTAAATGGTTCATGTAACAGGTACCTAATTGAAAAATGTGTATTCTTTGAAATTGTTCAAACAATGAATTCCCTGCTGAAATGTAAAGCGTGATATTTGTGGTGTTCATTGTGGCTTCTGAAAAATGAACAATCCAAGTGCCATCAGGATGAAGAATAAAGATGGAGGTTTTAGCAGGATTGGCTCATCAGCCAGTCAGCCATTGCTGTTAAGTTGAACGTAAACCCAGAAAAGTTGAGAGATTCTTTTGGTTTCCCAGAAATGTTTATATTTTTGATGTGCAACGTAGGAATTTGTGCAGTAGCAATAGGAAAAAATGATTGTAAGCTGCCAGTATATAAAGTAATTGTATGTGTCTGTTCTTCTCCTGCTGGTCATTTCTCAGCCAAAGTAGCTCAGAGTAAACAGAGGAAGTTAAACAGTAGTGAGCAAATTTTTGGTCAGCATGGTTTTTTGTATGTGTTTTGACATTGTAAAGCAGTGTTTATACTGTCCATTGACAGTCCTTCATTAGCTGTGATGTATGAAAATGTAGCTTCTTTTTGAGGGGGAGAAAAGGAAAAAACAAATGCAACTATTAGTTAAACTAGAAAGAAGCATGAAAGCATTTTGTTTTGCATGCCATCTGAGAAAAGGGTAAGAGAATGAAGAGAGGCAATTCAGAGATCTTAAAATCTAGGAAAACTTGGAAAAATCAGTTAACCCTGTCAGTGTTGACATGCAGGAATTCATAGATAAATTTCTAGGATCTGGTGTAGCTTTGAGTAATTTTCTAGTTAAGTCAGTTTTGTGTGGTTAGAGTGACAGAAATAAAATCAATATACATTGCTGTCTGGTAACCTTGATCAAATGACATGAGGAATGTGGTACATTTTACCAGTAGTATGAGCTAGACATAGGTGTGCAGTGAAAATGAATAGAGCACGCAGGTAGAGTAATATGACATTGCTGAGTATAAGTAAGGTATTTGTTTACCAGGTAGCATTGGCATTAGATAAGGAGGGTTTGTATGCCAGCAAAATACAGGGGAGGAAAATGTTACCAAGAAGAGCACAGCCCAGAATTTTAGATGTACGAGTTCTCTGGAATTGCAAGCGAGATGAGAAGACTTTTAAAAGCAGCTAGAGATATTTCTTGTTTTAACTCCCACGACTTAGGGCGCCTGTAAGGGGATGTTATTTTGCTTCATCCGTATTTAAATAACTAAAGGAGAATGTGCTTCATGCACCTTAGTGTTGGTGGAGAGAAGTCTTTACAGTTTCACAAGGGGTAAGGCTGTGCAGCTGAAAATGGCTAGGTATTTCTTTTTGTCCCTGTTGTGCCCAGCTGCCTGCATTCACATGAGTGCATGATACAGTTACTTAAATCTTGCTTGTGTCAGTGTTTCCAACATTGCTAACAATCATCAGACCTGAATCAGCTTCAAAATGGTGGGAAACTTTTTAGTATCTTTTGTAACTGATAAACGGGATCAAAGGCTTATCCACAGGGAAAGGCAAGGCGGGGAGGTAGTGGAATGAGAGTCAAGAAGAAGCTATTGTAATGCATACGTTTAAGGAGGCCGAGCTAAAGTTACTGGGGAAACTTCAACTCTGAATTTCCTGAGTCTTGTGTGATTCAAATTTCATCTGTAACACCTCATTAACAGATAAATTACTTATAACTGCTTTTAAGTAAAAGCAGAGCTGAGGAGAAGACAGAGAAATCATAGATGTTAGTAGGGTCTGGGAAACGAAGTAGTCAGCTAATGCCTGTATTACAGAAAGGCTTTGCAACTCTGAATCTTTCAATTTTCCTACAGAAAAAAAAGTGAAGTAAAATACAGAAATGCCTGTTTTTCTCCCCTGCACTTGATTAACCAGGGAGAAAAAAAAAAAAAAAAAAAAAAAAAAAAAAAAA